GATGATCCAATAGCAATAAAGTCAAGAACCCAATAACACTGTGACACCGTGTTGCCACTGATTGAAGCAGTCCTCCTCGAGTGTTTGAAAATGGCTCAGAGTGCAAATTTATGCATAGCACAGAACATCCAGCAAAGAGACATTTCCAAGTGATTACTCTGACGTGTGACAGTTGGGAACTGGCAATGGATGTGTCAATTGAATACATATAATTTGATAAGTATTAAGCTATCATTTACAAAACAGTGACAGGATTCATGCTGCATAATGTGTAAAGTACTACACGTGTGGTATTGGGACATTTGAATACTGCACTGCACTATTGTTAATCATAAAACCCATGCAGCTACAAAGATATCAACTCATGTTCAGGGTGTATAGTAATCTACACGTGTACCTGAAACTGACCGGCTGAATTTAATGAAACTCATAGGTGGAGGAGAGGCAAAGGGACAGGTCATTAACTTTTGGATCAGGTCTGAATCCCTTTGTTTATGTGCTATTGTTATGTTTTTTTGTTGTCTTTTCTACCTTTTCGCTTTGAATTACAAACATACTATACTGTGTTGCAACAGTGAACCATGAATTATGCCTAATAGACCTAGAACAAGATTCCAAGTTATCCTCAGGCACATGCTGTTTGACAGCTGAGCAACCACAGCAAACAAGCCGGCTGTGGACAAACATTCTGCTCTCAGTGATATTTGGACAATGTTTGTCGCTGACTTATCAAATACTACAATCCTGGTACTGATCTCTGTGCAGAAGAACAGATGTTATCTTTGGGAGGAAAGTGCAGTTTTTATTTCACCAAAATCAGCTTCAAATGGAAGTTGGGAACAACTGTAGTTCAGGAGGTAGAGCAGGTAGTCTACTGAGGCTAACCCTAACACCCCACCAACCACCACCTTGGACATAAATGATTTAAATCCTCAGTATCTGTCATTGATAAAGGAAATTGTACAAGTATGACAACCAGATACATTAAAAATGCCAGTATATAATATAATGTGGGTTAAGAAGGTAGATAGTAGGTTTTTTCTTACTTCATGTGAACGTACCACATCAGGCTCTAAAAACACCATCTGAGAAATCTTGACTTCTCACAACACCAGTCCATCTGCACAAGGATTCGCAATCTTTTTTGGGGGGTTAATCCTCCTTTTAAATGTAGGTTTCCTTCAGATTCATCTGAGCTCACATGTTCAATTTGCACTGATGACATGCACATCTTTGCACACAATTTGCACATCTTGTCATGTGTTCTTGCAGTGCGGTGTTTATGTACAAATTCATGAGGCTTTGCTTTGCCTGTGTCTTTATGTGAGCATAAAGTATGGACGAGTGATATTTCATATGTGCAGGCAGCTGAGATGGAATAGTCCCAGAGGGAGGGCAGAAAGCTGAAGCACCAATCAGAGAGGATCATGGTATCACATCTGTCTGAGCATGTCATCGATCCAGGTAATGGAGCCGCTCCGCTTTCCTCTCAACAACCCTCTGTTATTATGCAGCAGCTACAGATGGACTCATTGCAAAAAATGCAAACGATAAAGAAAATACGAAGTGTGAAAGGCGGGGTATGCTGCTAGCATGTTCAGCGGGGGATAGTTGGTATATCAGAGGAATAAATAAGGAAAATAAAAGTCTGACTCAGGAGTTAAGCAAAGCAAAGCTCCCCTGGCGTGCTTGGCTCGAGGCTAACTGGCACAAGACCTTCCTGTTGGCCGGATGTTTTTTATATCCCACATAATGGGGAGCCAAAGAGCTCAACTCTCCTGACCTACTGACACAAACAACTGTTATAGCCAAGCAGCTGAACTTTAAGTCTAACAAAAAAAGAAAAAAAAACATGCACTCTTAGTTGTGAAATGCAAAGAGAGGGAAAACAGAAGATTTGAACGTGTTCATGATTGAAAACTTTCAAGTGGAAAGTGTTTTGGGTGATCTGGGCAGCAATTTCAATCATCTGTAAGGCATCATTCACATGAAATAGAACAAAAAAAATAAAATAAAATCTAAACCTATATCGTTTTATAGACTGAAGTCTTCCACTACAAACTAAACTAAGAAACAAACTAAGTGAGGTGCTTTATTACAAACAACAATTCTCATTCTCGGATCTTCTCCTAGAGTGTGTTTTTCACTTTTACTTGTTAGCTTAGTTCAAATTACATAATTAGTTTAGGGAGGGAGGTTCTGGGTTCTGGCCCATTGTGTGGCTGACCCAAGGCTACTTCTTTCTATTTCTTGTTCCCAGATCTCCAGACCTTTGAGTTGTTGTTGTAAAGGAGAACGGCATGGTGGTGCAGAGGTTGGTGCTTACATGGGTACAGTCAAAAGGCGACTACGGCATGTTTTCTTTTGTGGCTTTAACAACATATTGTAAGACTGACATGATTCTCACAGGCTTCAGACCTGAGTCACATTAAAAGCTGTGTTTTCTCAGACATTTCAGAATATTATGTAATAGATCTGATAATAGATGCTTCTGTCCTCTCTGCAGTTTTTTTTTTTATTGACGAGTGTTATGATGAATCTCTTTTGTAAGAAAAACACAAATTCAAAGTCAAACATCAGTCAATATTTACTGCCAAACAAAACAAATGATAAATTAGAACTGTACAATATGGTAATAAACATTACACACACACACACACACACACACACACACATATCAGTTCAACAAGAGAAACACACAGCGCTGCTTGTGTTTAAATCTCTCTTTTTCTTCAGGCAGACAGTCTGTGTCCTTTAAACCCTAAAAAGTGTGAAAATCTGACTTTTTGGTTTGTGTATTTTTTTTTAAACACAGAGTGTGTTATTATAATTCTTGTTATGACAAAAAGACATTGCTGTTAACATATAAAAGGGTCAAATCTTAAAAGCTGACATAGAATATAACAAACTGTGATTTCTCATAACCCGTCAAATAAATGCGAGTTAGAGGTGTCACGATAACATGTATTGAAAATCCTGATATTTAAAAATGAAATGTAAATATTGTATCAATGCACAATATGAAAAAACTTTGTTTTGTATGCTTTTGTAGGGTTAAGCATCATAGCATCTCTCGCCATGTCTATGAATTGCATTTTGAGTTTAATTAACTGGCCAATAAACAAAGTTTATTGAAAGCAAACTGAAAGCATAAGTACAGAAGTTTCTTTTTCAACCACTCATATTACAATATTATAATGATGAAGTTTAAGTCTGATATCGTGACAGCCCTAACAGGGCTCGCAAAATCGCTAGCCCGACGTCCCGGGGCTAGCGATTTTTCCAGT